TTTTTTCAAGGTTATTGATGGATTTCTTATTTTTTTCCAAAATATTGAAGTGTTTCAAATGTTTTTATTATGGATAGTTTTTGTAATGCTTGAGTCAGGACTGAAAGTATGCCCATACCTGAATAGTGTTCATTGGACCTGTTAGGTAGGGATCTGCTCCCCTTCCCCTTGATCTCCAGCGAGTTTTACTTCCCTCTGTGCAAATATGTGCTCATTAGTTAGTTCCAATTTATTAGAGAGTACATTAGGATAATGGTCACCAGTTCCATCCAAATTGCTGCAAAAGGGACTAATTCATCCTTTTTTTAATGTCTGAGCAGTATTCCATGGTATACATATACCACATATTGTTGATCCACTCATGAACTGATGGGCATTTGGGTTCATTCCACATCTTTCTAATTGTGAATTGTGCTGCAATAAACATTCTAGTGCCGGTGTCTTTTTGGTAGAATGACTTCTTTTCCTTTGGGTAGATACCCCAGTAGTGGGATTGGTGGATTGAATGGTAGGTCTTTTAATTCTTTTAGAAACCTCCTTAATCTTTTTTATAAGGTTGTACTAATTTGTAGTCCCACCAACAGTGTATTATCATTCCTTTCTCTCTCTACATCCATGTAAGCATCTATCGTTTTTGGACTTTTTAATAAAAGCTATTCTAACAGGAGTAAGATGATATCTCATTGTTATTTTAAGTCACATTTCCCTGATGATTAGTGATGTTGAACATTTTTTCATGTGTTTCTTGGCTGTTAGATAAATAAATAATAAATGAATAAATCTTTTGCAAAACTTCTGTCCATGTCTTTTGGCCACTTTTTAATGATGCCATTTTCTTTTTTTCTTGTTGATTCGTTTGAGTTCTTTGTAGATTCTGGATATTAGCCGTCTATCAGACATATAGCTTGCAAACATTATTTCCCATTCTATAAGTTGTCTATTTGCTCTGTTTATTATTTCCTTAGCTGTGCAGAAGCTTTTTAATTTAATCAAGTCATACTTATTTATTTTTGTTGTTGCTATAATAGCCTTTAGTGTCTTAGTCATAAATTCTTTGCCTAGGCCAATATTTAGAATAGTTTTCCTACATTTTTCCCTAGAATTCTTACAGTTGCATGCCTTACATTTAAGTCTGTTACCCATCTTGAATTAATTTCTGTGAGTGGTGAAAGATAGGGGTCCTGTGTGTTTCATTCTTTTGCTTGTGGCTATTCAACTTTCCCAGCACCATTTATTGATTAGGGCTTCTCTTCCCCAGTGTATGTTGTCTGCTTTGCAGAAGATCAGTTGGTTGTATGTAGATGGTTTTATATCTGGGTTCTCTGTTCTGTTCCATGCATCTATGTCTCTATTTTTGTACTAATGCCATGTTGTTTTGATTACCATATCCCTGTAGTATAGTTTGAATTCTGGTAATGGGATGCCTCCAGATTTGTTCTATTTGCTTTGGCTATTCAGGCTCTTTTTGGTTCCAAATGAAGCATAGAATTATTTCTTCTAGGTCTGTGAAATATGACATTGATATTTTGATGGAGATTGCATCGAATATTTAAATCACTTTGGACCATATGGCCATTTTAATAATGTTGATTCTATTGATCAATGAGCATGGTAATTTTTTTTTCATTTGTTTGTGTCATCTGTGATTTCTTTCCTCAGTGTTTCATAGTTCTCCTTGCAGAGATATTTTATCACCTTGGTTAATATCTTATGGCTTTTATTTCTGGCTGTCTTTGTCAATTTTGGTGATTTTTTTTTAAAAAATCAAGTTTTGGTTTCATTGATTTTCTCTATTGTTTTTCTAATCTTTGTTATATCAATTTCCATTCTGGTCTTTATTATTAGATATTTCTATTATTTTGCCTGCTTTATTTTAGTTTGCTCAACCTTTGCCAATGTCTTGTGTGAGAGAATTCATTGTTGATTAGAGATATTTCTTTTGTTTTAATACTGGTATTTACAACTGTAAATCTCACTATGTCACTTAGTCTGTACCCTATAAGTTTTGTCACAATGTATTTTTTATTTTTATTTATCTCAAAGTAATTTGCTAATTTCCTTTTTGATTCATTCTTTGAGTCACTGGTTATTTGAGTGCTGTTTAATTTCCACATAGTTGTGAATTTCCAAAATTTTTCTTTATTATTGATTTCTAATGTCATTTCATTGTGGTCAGAAAATATAGGTTGTATGACTTTAATCATTTTAAATTTAATGAGACTTGTTTTATAGCCTAGCATTGTCTATACAAGAGAATATTCTAGGTGTACTTGAGAAGAATGTATATTCCTATGTTTTGGGGATAGAGTGTTCTAAAGATATCTGTTAGGTCTAGTTGGTTTAAGGTATTGTTCCATCTTAAATTTCACTGACCGGTTTTTCAGAACCTCAAGGTCAGCCAGAGATGAGTGTTTAGGGCCTTTCCAGGCGTTTCCTGAGCATACACACAGCACAATTCTTACTGTTGTCTTTCTAGATTTCCAGAAATATGTTGAAGCTTTATATATACCCTATGGACATCATTCTCTAGCATTTCCTTTAAGCTTTTTGGTTAATCTATGATTCCACCATTGAGCATAATAGTAGTAGTAACAGTGAAGAGGTTGGCAACATCCTTTGGATGTTCTTTTCACAGACACCAGCATCCATATCTTCACATCTGGTAAACAGAAGACTACCCCTAAAAAGTATGAGCTGGAGAGAAGCCCTCACATGGTAACTGAGATCTGGCTCTGAGGAGCACATGTGTTCAGAATTATTTATGTGGACTTGAGGAAAATTAAGAGTTTTAGCAAAGTAGGTGAAGCCAGAGCCATAGAAATCTTGGGACAGGGGAGAGGAGTGTGTATGTATAGGTGTGTGTTTGTGAGTGCACATGTCCTAGACAGTACAATTTCAGAGACTACACTCTTATTCCCTACAATGTTGTGCCTTCTAAAAATGTAAAAACTATAAAATGATATCATTATATTTAACTTAGCTGTGAGAGGAAATTTATTATAAGATGTTATATCTATTTTTAAGACTATCTATCTATTATCCTATAGTTGTAGGTTGATGGAACTTAACATCGTTATGTTATTTTTCTGCTCAAATTTCTGCACTGGCTCCTCATTTCACTCCAAGAAAAAGATAAAGTAGATAAATAACCTACAAGGCTCTGTGATTTCTGGCACCCTGGCATCTTTCACTTTTCTATACTCTTTTCACTAACTTCTCTCTGGTGCTACAGGCCTACTTGTTGCTTCTGAAACCCATCAAGCAAGCTCCAGTTTTTCTCTCTGCCTAGAAACTCTGCCCTCAGTTATCATCATCAATCATCCCCTTAACTTCCATAAGCCTTGGCTAATATCCCAACTTTTGGATAAGGCATATGCTAATCATCCTATTTAACACTACAATGTAAACTGCCTTGTCCTTCTGTCCTTCTAATGCCACTCATCTGCTCATTTTTTTTTCATAGCATTTACAACTTTCTCTCGTCTACTGTAAACATTTATTATATTAATTGTTTATTGCCTATCTCCACTGCCAGAAAACCAGCTCCAAAAGTCAGGAATTTGTCTCACTCCACAGTGTAGGTACACATTTGTTGAAAGAAAGAATAAATGTAATTTATAAAAGATAAAGAAACATGAATACCAGTGGTTCCAGCCTACCTTAAGTAGCATGGTTTTGCAAGTCTATCCTTAAACTTTGTCCTTTGGCCTTTACACATGCTCTTCTATCTATCTGGTCAATTTTTCTTCCCTTTTCTACCTGGAAATCCAGTGTTTTTGCTAAAATGACTCTTTCGAAGCAATCCATTTAGAAATGCCTATGCTGTCCTCCCATGAGCCCACATGATATGCGGTTCAATCTTTATTGACAGTGCCTAAAATGATGTCTTTCAATTTCTCTTTTCATATTTTTCTAGCCACAGACTCCACCCCTCCCTAACCTAGAATATTTATCTCTCATCTTTGTATCTTCAGCATCTAGAACAGTGAATGACATACTGTCAAACCTTCACTTAATGAAATGAATGATGCCTATTTCCTGTTATCTATGCTAAGCTCTCCACAGACTTAAAGGAGCTTTTTAAAACTGTAACATTCTCATCTCTGCAACTGGCTAATGATATTTGTGTCATTATAAAGACCAAAAACTTGAAATGGAATTACTTGAATTTTCTTTACAAAAAGCATTTCTAAGTAGGATACAGTATAATATTTTAGAATCTGTCAAATATCTACACACAGTCTGGAGGCAAGAGGACAGAAAGGGGTTGAGGGCTAATGCTGAACTCCATTGAAGATATTTTTCAAGGAAGCTTCAAAAGGGGCCCCTTCTTCATTACAGGATGTATGGTATGTCTTGCATCTGTCTCTCTAGAGGCTATGAACCGTGCAAATCAGCTGCATCCATATTTTAGCAAAAGTAATTGCAGAAGAGCAGCATAATCAATTTCTTATCAGTTTGCTTTTGGTACAATTAGCAATATATGCATAGGGATAAAATAGGACAGCTTCTGTGGAATTTTTCAAGATAAAAATTAGCCAAGGGTATAACGTTCTGTGTATCCTTAAATAAGGGCTCCAAAATAGCCCTTATTTAATTCATTCATATATTATCAGAATTCTGTATAGTATTCAACAAATGATAAAATACCAGAAGAATGTAAGTTCTTCATTTCATCTTAAAATGTGATCCTAAAGAAATCTTTATAAGTTGATATGGAAAAAACTACCAATAGGAAAATAGATATCCTATTATTTTAAATTACTTTGCTTCTTCCATAGAATTTTTTTCATTTGTTCTTCTGTACATTTCACTCAAACTAATTGTGTAGAAGAAAAACCTTTAAAGTATTACTATAAAATTGTTTATAAATAAAGTAGCAATCATTTACAATAATATAAGAACTTTGTTATTACAAATGTTTCCTTGGATTCAAGAAAAATTTTTCTACATGGTTCTAGAATGATAACCGAAAGTGTAACATGTTAGCAGATACAAACCAACAAGGATGGAATAGAGGATTCCTGGCCTATCTGATGGTGGTTGTATATTCCGGTCTTGATCAATGGCTTGGATCGGTGGGGTAACAATAATGGGGTTCAGTTCTTCCTGGAAAAAAATTTACAGAATTTAGTTCAGTTGCATGACTGATACTTTGCAGAGAATTGATATTCAGATATTTTAGCTTGGACAGCTAGATGACATCTGAGCCAGTAGTTAATCTTGAGTTTCAAGATTTATAATTTAATAACTTATACTAATTAATTTTGAATCTTAAGAGGAAGCAAGGTATCCTCAAAATTAACATGAAAAGACATATTAATTATATACATAAAAACGTATATCAGTAATTCAGTAATTGCTCCTAAAAGAAATGCAAGGAAGAAAGGTAACAATACATTTTTAATCTTTCTTGGAAGATTTATTCAAAAGAAATATAAGGTTATCAAATAGAGTATCAAGTAATGTTTTCCCCTTTACTTTAAACAAGATTTCTAAGAATATTTATGTTCTTTCTTTCCTAAATTATTTTTAAAGGTGCCACATAAATTAATTATAGTAAAATATAAAATTTTAAAGTAGATGCTTTAATTCAATAAAAATCAAAGCTATATCATTGTAAGTTTCATATAATTAAAATTAACCAGGTGACAAAACTAACCCATCAACCCAGCCCTCCTTGCTTCTTCCCTAACCCTAATTCGCGGGCACTTGCTTTGAAGCATTTTGTCTCCTTGGCAAGTGGGGGGTGCCCGGTGCCTTCCCTGCAGTGACTCCCCGACGATGGTAAGGACAGCCGGTGGATTCCGGAGCTCTCCCTTCCTGCCCTTGAGCAAGGATAATGAACATGACCCTGGCCATTTTAAAATACCATGCTAGGTGCTTTGTATTAAATGGTCTCCTTTAAAAATAATAAAAATAATAATACATACTCCATTTCCCACAGATCACATCCTCTGACCAAAATGCAGTATGAAACCAATGAAATTGTATTTTAAAAAGATACAGAGAAATATCCAATACATTTAGAAGTTAACAAACATTTAAAAAAATAAGTGGATTAAAGAATAGACCCTAAATCATAAAAGAGTTAAAATGAATGACAATGGCATCTTTAGAGACCAAAACTTGTGACATACAGGATGAACTGTGCTTTTAATACATTTATTAGGAAGCTGAAGAGTTGACAATATATGTGCTAAGCATTCAATTTAAGTATCTTTTTTTTTTAAAAAAAGAACAAGATAAATCCAAAGAAACTGAGTAAAAAAATAAAATTAAAGAAATAAAGCAGTATGTAGTAGTCAACTCTATAATGCTGATTAAAAAAAAAAAACATAAAAGAGAAATAGTCATGTTTGTATTGCCAAGTGCCAGCACGTTAATGATCTTAAATTTACTGAAACAACAGTATCCTTATAATAAACCTCTGTTTCACTAAGTTAGATTAAGATCAGTTTCTGGGACTTTGAACCTAGAGTATCATCTAATAAATTGACAAGGAAAAGAATAAGAGATGATGTGTTGGCTTTCTTAGAGACACTGTCCTTACTTCCCTATACCCTCTAAATTATGTTCTATGAAGAGAAAAGAATATTTTTGCATACAAATTCAAGTCATGTAATCACTTACAGGGTTTGGTAAATAGAAGATATTTATACATTTTTGCCAACTTGTTTTCTATTGAACAATCTAACCTGGTAACAGATCATTATTCTAAAGTAGACTTAGTATTATCCACTACAAGAAAATCTGTGGCTACTGCTGGAATAACTTCCTTAGCTCTTGTGAAAAAGCAATCAATTTAGAGATTTGTTTCTTTTGAAGAACAGATTCTCTATAAGTAGATAATAATTACTGTTGTTTATTCTTCTCCTGTCCTCCTTGTTTCTCTTAGCTTCTGATTTTGCTGTCTAGATTACAGAGGAAGTCCAGTATGTGTTAAAGAAATTAGAAATCCACCCATAGCTCAAACATGCTTGGATGTCCTTTAGAGAAAGTATCAAAATATTCTTCTACCTTGGTATATAATTGCTATAATTACATTTTTACTAGAAGCTTTAGTGGCTTGAGGGCAGAAAATATGTTATTCCTATTTATAACTCTTAGCCCAGTGCCTCACGGATTTCAACAAATTTTTGTAATCAAGTTGAATTCCAGGAGACATATAAAAAATCCACTCAAACACTGGAAGGCTCTTTTTCACTTTGCCTCTGAAGCAAAATTGGTTTTTTTGTAGTCGCATTTGTCTTTGAGAAGTCATGTCTCCCGAATTCTGTTTTAGCTGATAAGTGTACATTAGAAGTGCATAAAATCACAGGTGATTTTCACTGCTGTTTGAACTGTCAGAGGTACATTACCTGACTTAGTAATGGGAACATAATATCTAAAATGAATTAGGTCCCTGTAAAACAATTCCTATTGTGAAAATAATCATACAGACTATTAAACAATACAAAAATATTAAATTCTGTAAAAATATTGTGTGATTCTACATAAAAATCAATATTATTTCATTATGAATATATGGTTCGTATTCATTAGCTTTTCTTGTAAAGTAGTTTCTCTTTTGACTTTTTCATGCACAACTATTGTATTCCTCTGAGGAGATAACAGTAGGCAGTTAAAATTTTGGAGTGAGTGAGGGTTAGCTATTCCTCCTGCAACCTCACTACCAAATTGAAAACATTGTTTCAATTCAAATTTTGTTATATACACATAATAAATAAAAATGTATTAGCAAGAAATCACAAAAAAAAATTCAGAAACCTTTTCTGTAGGTTTAAGGAAATCTCAGCTCTCTGTTCTTTAAAATGTTCAAACCATTACCTTGCATAAAAGGTACATTTCAAGGGAAACATTGAAATTTCAGAGATTGGATATATTTACCATTTTAACTTGCATCAGACAAACAAGAGTCATGATCCACAGAACTATAATATTCAGCCTATTATACCATTCCAAATGTTAAAAGAGTGCATAATTCATTCGATTCTTAATCTGCTTTATGCACAGGTAGACTGCCTTTAAAAGTAATTTTAGCCAATCTTTATTTCTTAAATATTTTTTCAGCAATGTGAAATAATATCTATCATTTATAAAAGTCAATGGTTAATAAACTTTAGAAATAAAAACCCATATTTGACATTTAGCAGACTATCAAAGTCTTCAGCCTTAGTTGAGATACAGATAACAGATGTATTAAAATGCTAAATATCCTCAACTTGAGGTATGTCTTCATCTGAACACATGCATAATAGTATACTGAACTTGTTGAACTATCTTGAATCACATGAAGACATTATTATGATCCCCAAGATATTATAAAAATACCAAGAAAGAATATATTCTCATAAACCCTTATAAAGGTAAACTGTGATGCAACCACATAGTTCACCAGCATCAAGGCCAAACTTGGATGTTATTTTAATTATTAGAATTCTTAATTGTAAGTGTTTAAAATGCTCACTCTTCTATTCGTATAATACTAGATTCATCATTGCTTAGATTTATGCTCTATATTTTCATTAATTAATAAAGTATTTGAAAAGAAGATAGTGATGCTAAAATAGTAAAAATGTTATCTGTAAGTATTCCAACACTTAAAATTAAGTGACTTGAAATTTTAGTGAACTATATAATTTATACCTAAATTACTGAATATATGATTTATTAAATTACTTTCATTAAGTTTTATGAGCTATTTACATTTAAATAGACACTTCTGTTTTAAAATATCCAATGAAAAACCTTAATAATTTATATTTTTAAATCTGTTATGCATTCCTTTTAACAAAAGATTTATATTGTACCTAAGAAAAGTCAGTAAACATTATTATTCTCACCTCATGTTATATTATAAATCTATTATTTTACTGGAAGCTTTGGCAAGTGTTCAGCCAGATTCTTACTTATTTCCATGTGTTAACTAACACAGAAAGGAAAAATGAATCAAATGTGTTCTCACACACATGCATATACAAAATAAATACACTTACATATATCCTTAAGAAGCCAAGCAACTATTTCTGTCTTTGCTTAATTTTGCTTTTCTTAAGTGTTAGAAAAATCAGATTCTTTGAGAAAGTATCAGATATTTTGGAATGTGAATATTTCAAAAAGTGTAACTAACTGGGGTGACTCGTATGTGCCAAGCTGATTAATTTGAATTTTTATATTTTTATGAAAGAAATATAAGTGGAACATTCACATACAGCTTTGAAAATTATATACTATGCATACCAAAGTCTTCCAGTTTTGATAATTATGATCCCTATAACAGAAGAGCAAAGAGCACATGTGAAATACTCGTATAGCCATGACCCATAAAAATCACATCACCTTCTGCCTGATCATTGGAATTTTATATCACCTATTAAAACAAACAAAACAAAGCTCACTGACCTAACAAAAAATACTCTTGTTTTATTATTTTCATGAGTAAATTCCATAGCCCCTTCAATATTATACTCTTCTTTATTCCACTGTGTATGTGAGTTTTTTCATATTTACCTTATATACTGTGACTTTGTTTGCAAAATATGCATTTCAATATCCTTTCAATCTCATACTTGAACACTTTTACTGATAATTCCCCTTGTTTTCAAAATGTTGCTTTAAATCTCTGTCTTTTAAATTTGTTTGCTTGAAGATTCTACTTTTCCTGTGGATCTCCAAATAATTCCTGGATAGGTAAGAAAAATGCTGGCTACTGGTCAACCCTTGATTATTTCCTATGAATAAATATTAAAATCCTATAATACATTTTTCAAGCCTGTGAACTTGTTCCACACTGCCCAAGTGACAGTCTCAAAACAATGTTGCAATCAAAGTGATCTGGCTACCAAAAATCAGTTTCCAAATAACTCAAATTCAGAGTGTGCATTTTACAGATGTTTTAAAGAGATCATAGAAATATTCCTTAAAACAGTTTTTGGTATTCTCATCTATTTCCCTAACAACTAGGCTTCTGTCTATTCCTCACACTCCCTCAGGCCTAACTCAAAATCATCTTGTTATTCACTGCCCCTTCACTCTTATCTCACATAGCAAAATTTCTCAAAATGATTTTGACGAGGCATGACCCACTTCAGAATTCAGAGGAAAGAAAGAAACTGGGCAGAATTTGCTTTATTATGAAGATAAAGAGGAAATCTTGGGAGAACTTATTTGTTACTAATTTTAGTCTCATCACATTGGCATGGATATTTCAATTATAAGAATGATATGATTCCCATTGTGTGCACTCACTGGTCAGAAGACATCTATCTTTGTGATCACTTCAATTCATCATTGAGTCAGAATTCTCTACAAAACCTCCTTGTTATTAGGGACTTTGTGAGCACTGCCTAGGGTTTCACCTTCAGTCTTTCTAGGTCAGGCTTCCTCACTCAGTAGGAAGGCAAGAAAACAAGGACAACACATATACAACATATTAAAGACATAATAGTCCTTTATATTGAATTGATTTTGGAGAAATCAAATCTGATTTCAAAATTATCAAATGTAGTATATGGTTTAGTGAAAGAAGAGGTATTTTTTATTTAGGTCAATGAAGCCAAGTAATTTGCATACAGTTTTCCTGAGTGGTTTTATCAGTTTATATTCCTACCGAGTATATGTGTAGTAAACATGAATGTTCAAATCAATGAAATAAAATACATTTTTTATAAGCAGTGATTAAATATTATTGGTTAGCAATGGATATGGAAAAATTATGTTGGATATTGGCATCATATCCTATGCCAAATAAATCTTTGTAGAGCAAAAGTGAACATAAGAGAAAAACACAGAGATATTATAAGACATATAAGTGAAAATAAGAAAAGTAAATGGTTAATAACAAATAAATCAGCAATGATAAAAACAATTCCAATAATCAGAACTGGTGAATGCAGGTGGAAAAATGGGCTCATATTTCTGACAGAAAAAATAGCAGGTTAAATTCCAGGAAAAAATTATATCTATCACCAGGTTTGAAAATATTTATAGCTTGGACTTAAGGACTCCAGTTTGAGCTTTATCTTACATAAATATTGAGAGAGATGCCCCGAGATGTTTTAGCAAGGATATTCTTTGCACAATATAATTTGCTTTTTAAAATAAAATTTTTATTGAAGTACAGTCCATGAGATACCTTCATAAATCATTAGTTCATAGTCTGATGAATTATATTCCATTCATGTAACCTCACACTGAAATTAAGAAATAGAATATTACCAGTATTTCAGAAGCCCACTTATATTCTCTACCAATCACTGCTTTCCTACCGTCCTAGAGATGGCCTGACATTTAATATTATAGATTACTTTTGCCTGTTTTAAATTTTATAAAAATGGAATTATATAGTATGTAACCTTTTATAACTGGCCCTTTTCGTTCACTATTATGCTTGACATATGCATGCATGTGAGATTCACATAAGTCATTAAGTGCAGTACTACTAATACACTAGTTTTTATGGCTCTACAGTAGCATATTAGATGAATATCCCAACTATTATTTATTCATTCCTTAAGCTCGTGATGGACTTTGGATTGTTTCTAATGCATCCTGTGATTAATAATGCTATTATGAACACTCTCATATATGTCTTCATATGTATATTAATATAAGAATGAAGTTGCTGAATGTGCATATATTCTGATAGGCTAGATTACTGACAGTTTTCTAAAGCGGTTGTATCAGTTTACATTCTATCATAGTGTAGGTGAATTCTAATTGATCCATACCTTTCCCAACCATTTATAATTCTGGTGGGTGTGTATTGTGATCTCACAGTGGCTTTAATTTGAATTTTCTCTATAGTTAATATGATTAAACAATTGTTTTATTAATATGATATGGGACATTTGTGAAGTGTTGGTTCATGTCTTTTGCCTATTTTTCTTTGAATTGTCTATTACTTTTTTAAACAGGGTTTTGCTCTGTTGCCAGGTTCAGTGTGCAGTGACATTACCATAACTCACTGTAACCTCAAACTCCTGGGCTGAAGCGATCCTCCTGTCTCATCCTCCCGAGAAATTGAGAGTACAGGTATGTACCACCAGGCCTGGCTAGGGTTTTTATTGATTGATTGATTGATTGATTTTAGAGATGCAGTCCTGCTATTACCCAAGCTGATCTTGAACTCCTGGGATCAAGGAATCCTACTACCTTGGCCTGAATTATCTATCTTTTTCTTATTAATTGATAAGAGTTCTCTACATATCAGAATATGTCTTTTATGAGCTGAATGGTTTGTAAATATTATAATCCTTATGGCTTATATTTAGTTAGTATTATCTTGTCAAAGAAAAGTTCCTAACTTTAATATAGTACCAGTTGTCCCTTCCTTTTCTCTTTTCTTTTGTACTTGGATATTTTCTCTGCAATATACAGATTCTCACCACTTGAAGTACAGCTGCTAATTTTTAAATTAATTTCTACAGATAAAATATTATGCTCATCATATTATTTAAATTTATCTCACACACTTGTTTAACTGTATATTAACTGAGTTGGCTTGCCTGTAACTTTCTTGAGAGCAGGGATAAGGCCCATTTTCTTTTGTATCCATAGCACCAGATAACACACATAATGAACAGGCACACAAACACTGTGAGAAAAGGGCTTCTTGGTTGTAGATTGTTTAGAGTATTTTTGAGGTTCATAGACACCACCCTTGCTCTCTGAATTTCTGTAGACATCTAAACATGAATACTGATTTTTTTACAATCTTTTTATAGCTCCAATGTCGTTGCACTTCCAAAGTTGCCACACTCAACTAGAGGCAAAAATAATGTGGCCATAAGAATGGATCAAAATATACAGATAGGGGTTCAGAGTGCTTCATTGAGATGGCCTTTTTGGATAACACAGTCAATAGTCTCACAAACATTCCAATACAGTGAATGGTGAACTCCTATATCCTGCAACAAAACATGATAAGTTTGCTAATAAGTAGCAATGCAACTTTTCAATAAGCCATTTCATCTCTCAAAGCTTGAATTCTCATTTTCAAAGTGAAGTTATTAATATCTAAATTCCATGATTGGTGTGAGGATTCATGAAATAATATATATATATAAAGAAATAAAACAGTAAATGACATTTTAATATATGGAAATTATTATAAGTTAATATTATTAAAATTAACTAGGCTATATAGTTGGACATTTAAATTGCTTACATTGTTTTAGCAACATAAATAATATATTCTCTACTGTGCTATATCCTAAATTATGTTCTTAGATGTAAAATTTTTGCATCAAGCAATGAAAACATGTTGAACTCCTTTGCACAAATTGCCAGATGGTTTTCCAAAAAGATTGCAATGATCTATTTCCTTCTCAGTATTGTGTGTGAATTTATAACTGCAGATACTTGTCAATGTGTGAGTCATATATGCCCAGATAATTGCTAAATAAGTGTAAAGTTTAATTTTGAATTTCTTTGGTAATGAGTATAAATTTTTTTATATATTTGTGTTTCTTCTGTTCATTTACTTTGCCTATTTTTTTTTAATTTTGGCATTTTAAAGTTTTATTTCCATAGCATATGTGCATAGCATAGAAATCAACACTATGTCACCAGTCTTACAAATATTTTCAGTTTGTTGTTTGCCTCTGTATGTTATTTGCTTTTGACTCTAGAAGGCTGGCATTTTTATGTACTCAGATATATCATTTTTCCTTTTTGATTTTTGCTTAGTTTCTCACAACCTGAAAGTTATATAAATGCTCCATTATATTTTCTTTCAGGTATTATGATTTTAACATTTTAAATTTAGTGCTTCTATCCATCAAGAAAGTTGAATAGTAAAGAATTAATCTCATCTCTAAATATTTATATCATGATTTACTTATTTTTGAATTATTTTTTTTCTTGAACAATCTGTCCATTGACATATCTCTGAGTAATTTTTTTCCTGTAAAAACATGAGTTCTTATATATATGAGAATGTTAATTGCTTCATAAGTAAATAAAAATTTTACTGAATTTTAGGTTCTCTATTCATAAACATTCCTTTTAATGCACAGCAATCTCTATCTAATATTTGGTGTCTTCATGTTTTTTTCTTTATGTCTGGTAGGAATTTGCTTTTATCTTGAAATACACCATTTACCAAGAGTTTTCTAAGCATTAATCACATTGTCTTAACTGTGTTTTGTACTTTAAGTAGTTTTAATCTGCCAACATACATTCTTTACATAATTCTAAAGTTTTTTTTCCTCCCTACAGTGTCTTTATTATTGCACTTGCTTACTGTTTTTAGTTTCTTTAAAACAAAAATTGATTGTATATTTATTTGGTTCTCTGATCTTTGCTTTATTTTCCTAGTCAATTATTCTGCAGTATGGAAGATTTCCTCAAACATGTAAGGGAATACTGCAAAATGGTAAGAGCATTCTTTTGTTAACCAGACTGCTACAGACTGTGTTACTGTGTCTTGCCCTCCAAGTTAGTTTCTGTGAGCTTCACCCTTTGCTGGTTTATAAAATAAAGAGTAATATTACCTTCTTTACCAAGAGGTTTGCTTATTAACTGAGGAAATGCTAGTAAAATATGTAGCACAATCTTATCAAATTCTAAATATTAGTTAGTAGTTGTGCATCTTTGTTTTCTGCATCTTAAATTCTGTTTTTCTGCTTTTAATCTCCTCAGTTTTACTATTTAACTTTTATTTTCTTCTGTATCAGTATTTTTATTTCACCTTTAATCTCAGGTTTTGTATATCACATTCTCTATTATATTTTATTTGTGACCAAAACATATTTTTTACAATTCACTTGTGTGTCTTCTAGTAAGTCTTATTAGAGACATGCTTCTCTACCTTTTTACCTTGAACAATAATGTTCTCCTCTAATAGTGCAGAATCTTTCATGGGGTTCATGTGTATTTGGACCTGTATATTTCGGTTGACGATCGCTGCTCTCTTGACTGCAAAGTTTCCATGTCTTTGGTGATGAGGCTGAAAATCTATCCTTTATCCCTGTCTATACCTTTTTTTCCTCCTTCTTTCAAGACTATAACAATCTTACACTAGGCTTAGCAGAAATCAGACTTAGCTCCCTTGTTTCCAATGCTTATGCAATATTTCAGCCCTTTTTGTATCTCCAAAAGTATTCTAATAGGGCTGCAGATAGAGTTAAAGTTCCCTGTCATTTCAATCCAGACCTAGTCTATTCATTTCAATCTAAACCTATGCTAGGTTTAAGAGCAGGGAAATAAGATAAGAAAGTGTTAGATAAAACCATGTTTTCATGTGTAAATAAAATTGACACATTGAGGGAAAACCTTCTCTAACTTTTCCAGATACAAGAACAATTGCTTTCATTCACTATGCCGACAACAATATGCTTTCACTTGCATTACCCTATTGATCAGAACTCCCACATTCTTAGTTTATCACATTATATTATAATATAAAGGAGTGCAGTCCAGAGGAAAGCATGATGCCATCAGAGCTAGTAACTACCAAGGTCTGAAACTATGTATCATAAATTATTCATTATGTGAATACTTACATATTTCTGAATTTTAGCATTGTCAGTGTATAATAGTACATTGATTTACATCAATTCATATATGGAATTACAGCAGTTAATGTTATATGAATATAATCATGGAGTATTTCTTAGAATTAAAAAATAAGATAACTGTAGAAGGCCTTGTAATGATTGTTCTAGGTGAACATTCAATAAAAATTAGTTTTTAAATTTTTTACTATTTTAATTATGTATAAATTTATTTCTGATCTAGGATATAGCTACAATGAAGAGGATGGCCATTACTATTTCTTTTAAGTTAGTACCTTACTTGGTGCCTCACATATTGCTTTAATAAAGACTGCTTGGGTGGAATTGCTTTGCATGTTTCATCTCTCCATTGCACCAGCCCTGCTTGCAATTCTTCCAAGCTAAGAGCCAAAGAACAAGGACATCTCTCCAATACCACATAAACCCTAACACTGTAAACTGTTTCATTTATTAGACCAAGTAGACATTTAATATTAGCTAGATGAAGATATGATAATGTCATTTTCCAGTTATATTTAATCTGATATACAGAAATTTTTAAAAATAGAAATCATTTGTGCATCAACTTCCAGGAAAAAATATATTGCCATTAATTATATTCTTTTCCAAAAACATTTCTGAAACTAACAAAAAGGGGATATAATAACTCATTTTGGATGACCAGTATCATTGTTTATACTTTATCCCAGGCATTGATAAGGCTAAATTTATCCCACTGGATGTTGATTTGGGACACAAAATACCTAGATTTTTTTTTATCTCTTTCTTATTATTAAAAATTGAGTGAAAAAGAATAAGCACCCTCTGGTTACCAACAGGAGGTAACCAGTGTTTCACCCCAGGGTTATTCTATGTGATTCAAACTGCAAGGATAAGAACTTGTAGAGATTATGCAAGCTTCACTTTGACAAATAGAAGATGTATAAAACAACACTAAGATGGAAATAACATGAGAATACACTAGCCACATAAGGTTTTGGTGTTTTAGAGAGCTCATATAACCTGAATTTCCCAAGAATACAAGGAAAGCAAACATAAAGATTCATTTTTTGATAGATAAACTTGATGGGATTACATCTGCCTCACTGAACAGTGTAAAACATTTGGCAGAGCACGTATGATAACTGCCCATAGAATGGTTCCTCATGCAATCTCACCCAACTCCCACAACTAGATTCTGAATCACAAACAAAACAGGAACTTCCTCAAAATTAAACCATTAGCAACATTTAAATCCCCCAGCCTAATTGAAGGACCCTGAGAGATTAGGCTCTTTTTATGGAAGGGCAAACTAAAACATTTGGTTTTAACGTTTGAAAGAAGTGTGATCCAAACTTGTTTTCAGACTTCTATTTTGTGCTTGCAAGAGAAGCTACTACTTTAAATACCGGGGTGCTGTTGATAACTCTGGATGCTGATGCCTGTGGGGCATTGATAGATGTTTCATAAATCTTTTCCAAATGACATTCTTGATATTTGCCCACAGGGTCTCTGGAAGCATCCTCTAAACTTTTCAATTTTTCTTTAGAAATTCAATGTAATAGTTTTTCTTTCCCCTTTCTGCATTGGTAGCAATTTATGTCTTCCACATAGGATGCAGTTATTTCCCACTATGTTGATATTTTTCAAAATGTAGGCACCATTACATTTGCAACAGAAGCATCTGTTAAAGTAATCACAATTGTTGGGCCTGACCCCAGAAAAATACATTTCATCATAACACCTCAGGCCAGGTCTATAGGAACCACAGAAAAGTTCCTATAAAATAAACTTTGCAACCTTTTAACTCTTTCTGATAAGCTTTCATACTTTATTTTATTTCTTTTTCCACACTCTTCAAAAAAGAGATGAGGAGCAGTATTGCAAAGGATGTGTAGCAGATGCATGTCACTTACTTTGAGAACTTACTGATAAAACCCTTTGCATTGCATTTATACTTACTTTGTATTGACTATCTCTCTTCACTTAGAACTTTCTTAGGTATTTTTTTGATTCTTATTGAAGACCAAAATTGTGTTCTTATGATGAAATCTGTCTAAATATCAAAACTTGAATAACTGGACAGCCTACTTTAAGAAACCTATTGCTAAGTATATACCCCAAAATATCAGTTTAAATCTCTATATTCAAGCTAGTAGCAAGTTATCTATGATAAGATATCCAAAGACCAATAACGTAAGGAATATCTATGCTATTTTTCAACTGAATTTAGTTAAGAACAAATATAGCAACAAGTGGGTTGGCAATTAAATATGGGAGGAGAAAGTGGAATTTCAAATGTAAAAGACTTATCATGGCTATAAGATTAATGATAGCCATAATGCCCACTGAAACATCTCATAGTACCAATACTATCTGTCATGTAGCAACAGGTTGATATCTGGCCTGGGGATTTCTAACCATGGCCCAAGGATTATCAGGATTGTTCTTTATAAAAATAGGACCTAAAAATCCTGGTTGCGCTAGAAATATGTCCATCTCAGCCTAGATGCATCATTCATAAACCTTAACACAAAGCTTACTCTTATAAGAATAACTTAAACTCTCTTTATGAAAGAAACACCTGGTAACTGACCTGGACTGAATACAAGTATAAGAAAAGGGGAAGAATCCCCCAAACTCTGAGAATGGTCTGCCGATAGAGACCCTCCCAATTAGTGGGTCATCTGACCTCCTGACTCTATCTGCCTCATGCTATTGGCCTGCTCCTGCTACTGGTCTTACAAGAGCATTGCCAGAATAAACCATTCGAGCGTTGGATGTTGTCTACAATTTATCTTTGAAGCAAATCTGACTGAAGGGGAAAAGGCATCCCCAGGGAAGCTGGTCAACTAGAACCACCCAAGACCCCAGTATGCCAGGATGAAACAAAATGAAAAAAAAAAAAATTAAGAATTCCACAATGATCTAATGAAGAACAAAGAAATCAATAAATAAGTTATTTTTTAAAGGTGAAGAGGAACTGGATAATCAACTTTATTAAAGTAGAAAATATTTGAGGTAGGCTGCTCTAATCAATTAACCAACAAGCACTTAATGAAAGAAAGTGAATAGATGGGAAGTAGAGTAACATTTCTTGATACTCTATTTGTATCTGCTTCTAAATATTTCATTTTCACAATGTTATTGATATAGAACCTGTCAAAACCTTCGACTAGAAAGTAGTGTAGTTTGAAGCAGAATCTGACTTTAAAGCCTGTGCCTTTTGAATGCCTTTAAATATCCACCACTATGTGGGAAAGGTAACTATGCCCTGGCCCTTATCTATCTGTTTTGTCCAATTGCATCTTCCAATACTGAGTTTCTCATTCCTTGTCTCTCATTTCTTAGCATTTCTGATTTCTTGTTCTTATTAAAATATGTCAAATATTTCTTTTCCAGGGTTTTTGCATTTGCTACTTCTTTAGATTTCCTTTTTATAACTCATGACTCAACTCAAATGACCCTTCTTTAGAAAATCATTCCCGGACCACTTTTGCTAACAAAACCACTTCATTCATCTGCATTTATATTACTTCCTACATGTTGTATTCTTCACAGGGTATATCAGTGCCTTAACTTATATACTGACTTTTTAATTTTCTGTCTTCTTACACTAAAATGTAAACTCCCTGAAGATGTATGATCACAATGCCTATATCCTAGCACCTAAAACACTGTCTTGCAGTATTTTCTCAAACTTTCTCATTCACTCTTTCTCTCTGTCTCTCTCATTCTAGATAGACAGACAGATGGATAGACAACTAGATACAAAGATAGAAAAATAGTATATTTATACCTACAACTGAGGACTGATTATTTTAGGTGATTTTCCTTGTCAATAAGTTTAAAATACAATTATAAGACAAGATTAATTAAT